CATGTAATTCATAAAATAACTCTGAAATGTAATTTGTTTCATCATGAAGAAATCGTGAAAAAAACACATTATGTTTGACAAATAAATTTAAGATAGTACATTAGCAGAATTATTATTGCTTTTCTAATTTAAAGCTTGCAAATGGATCCTTGGAATGGGCATGATATAGTTTTATGAATTTTTAAATCTTTTCATCAATAGGGATTTAAAGAAATTTGCTTGTTGTATAACTCCAGGGGATGTTATTTTAAGTTACAAATTTAAGGACTTTGAAAATAAGTGTATACAATTTTTATCCTTCTTTGAGTGCTTTTTCATGTTAGAAGAACTCAGGCAAATTCTCATTTATAATATTGACAGAATTTTCGATTTTTAATATTTAAATGGCATCCTAGATCTAAGACATCGTTTTATTGTTATAATCAGCAATTTTTTAAGTCTGTTCAAACAACAGTGCAAATGACACCATAATAAAATATCTAAATCTCTCTACCAAGTTTTCTATATAGATTAAATAATTTAGTACCTCCAAATAATTATTCAGGGATTGGTGTTTCTATTTGTGATTAAGAATGTTTATTGCAAAAGGACCTCTTCTTCATAACCAATGTATCTCCACAATCACAACATCCTCCATTTGAGTAATGATATGTCACAACATGATCTTATGTAAATTAATAAAAATACTCTAATGTCTTTGTGGAGTGTAGCATTCTTAGCAATACACATGAGTAGGCTCTTTGCTACAATCAAAACATTTGTAAAACAAAGCATTTTTAGGAAGAGGAGCAGAACAAACACTTTTACACCCTGTTCCTTTTAATTTGATAATCTTATCTTCAAATTCCTAATTGGTCAAATTTAGGACCTATTATACTAATTCAAAATCTTGTTTTCCCAATTGTGAGTTGGCAGTATTCAAAATTAAGTTAATCAACTTTTAAATATCCATTTAGATGTTACTTATGTAATAATTGTTAATGAAATTCATTTCTTTCGTATTAAAACAAATTATGATTAATTTTGATATCGAAAATATTATAATCCTTTGAGTAATTTCATAATTTGGTTTATATTTGTCTAAGTTAAATGAATAAAAATTCTTTCATTATGTTAACTTATTATATCCTATTTTCCAAATTTTTGTAAATTAGAAGATTTATTGAGCGTCTTAATATTATTTCGATTTTTAGAAGAGACTTTGATTATTTTAATATATAAGAGTTATTTAGTTTACAATTATTTTATATTTAGTTAAAATATGGATTTTGCTCAACAATTTATCTTCATACAAAGTGTAACTTGGGAATCCAAAATGAATAATAAGCTAATTTGATAATCAATCTTTTGTAAAATTGAGAGACCCTATTCAGAAATAAACAGAAGAATCATAATTAAAGTCTTAAAATTATGAGCTACCTTGTTTTTTCGATACAAGTGAAGTTAGAGAAAAGTATTATTTGTATCTTAATTGATAAGTACTTCCAAAATAAAAAGGACAATAACAATTAAGTGGTTTAGGATGAGCAAGGATTCAAATGCCGATATACATCATCAATTTGTGACTGTTTTAGAATTTATTGGAGATTTTATCATGATAAATTGATAATTAGGCTATGATTTGTTCTGAGTTATCAGATAAAAAAAAATAAATAAATGGAATCCATAAGTGTCTTCAAATCAAGTCTATGGTAGTGAAAGAATCAGCAGAAGATAAACCTTTTTAAATTATATGAGATTTATTAATTTGCAAATCTCATTTTATTTAAGCGAAAATTTTAATATTTACCCGCATCATCTGAGAATAGACAATATTGATTTCATTTTTTAAACGCAAATTGATTGGTTAAAGAATAAAAACTAATGAATAGACTTTCAATTCTATCTTGAGTGATACTTTCCAAGCTTTTATGAAAATTGTTCAATCTATTGTGAATAGATCAGCCATCATCCTCCAATATGCTCTATTCAAATGTATGGCAGACCATATAAGTATGTCTATGATTAAGACATCTAGAATTGGTGATTTATTTTCGTTTTACTTTAGTTGTTGATTGAAATGTTGGAGTCTTTAAGATTATTTTTGAAAATACCCATTATGAGATTTTATTGAAATTCCCTCCAAGTAGTTTGAATGGGATAACCTGTGTCGATACTGTGCTGAATTATGTGGCATTTCATTTAAAGAAATCTTTTCGCTATGCCAATTCAAAGCCATTCTACAAATTTCATAATACATCAAATCAAATTATTTTTCTTTTTGTTTATTTTCTTTGCTCTCCATCAATAAATTATCTGCTGCTGCCAGAATTTTGTTCATACAAATCTTAGATTTTGATATTTTCTGTTTTATCTTATTATTCAAATTAATTGTCTTAATTAATTAGATTAAACATATGTTCTCAATCTAATGATTCACAAAGCTAATTTTAATGAGTATTTTTATTATATAGATTTGACAAATTAAGTTCTTTCATGAAACTTTTAGGATATTTATATCATACTTGTATTTTCTTCATTGTTACCTAATAACAATACTCTTACTAATCAAGCTCACTATGATAATTAGTCGTTTTTAACTTTTTTTGTTGTAAATATTTATGTTACTTAAAATAACTTGGAGATTATAATATATTGATTTCTGTTCATATATATATTCAACATACTATGTTAATTTATTTAACGTTTACGGTAAACTTAGTAGCTTCATATGA